AAGAAATTAATTTGTAGACCTTCAGATTTTATACCTTCCACATAAAATAGCTTCATACAGAAATCCTTGGGTTTGCTTTATACATGACAAATTATTTATTTTTTAGTGAAAATTCTGCTCTAAGTACATACTGCATGATGAAAAATGGATGCCCATGTTCTATGGGCATCAACTTCCAATCACAACTTTAATGTTACTCTGTTCATTTACAAATACTGGTCTAAGTTAGTAGTCAGCAGCCTAAAGCCCACAGGCTGCATGTGGGCCATGAAGAGGCTGGATCTGGCCCATCATTTGATCTGTGTTTACTAATAGCATGCTGATCCTCTGTCTCAGCATAGCTGTCAGATCTGACCCTGACTCTGCCTTCCAAATTTTACTAACAGCCTCTAACTTTCTTGCTGCAGGTTCCTAGGCCAAGAGTTCTTGGTGATCCTTGCTCCAGCACTTTAGTGCTGCTTTCTTCCCTGAAGCCTCTACTAACTGGAGGCTCTGCTAACTGAATTAGCCTCCCTAAAATGTCCCCAGCCATATTTTTCAGAGAAAGCTGCATCAAGGGGTGGGAGGGGGAGGTGTGAGACATCAGCCTCCATGCACAAACCAGGAACTGGGGTGTAGCCAGGGATGGGTGGCCCATGGTGCTAGCTGGGTCACAAAGAGGTGGCTCTTGTTGGTAAAAGGTTGCCAACACCTGATATAAATAACTCCATGGTCCAATCCATTAAAACTAAACAACTATATAATTACACCCCAAATTTGTTTCTTTTAATACTTTAAACTAGAGTTGGCCAACTTCTGGCACGGGTGGCATAACTGGCATGGGGCAGCACAGCAGTAGATGAGGCAGGAAGCAGAAAGCAAACAGCAAACCAGGCAGGGAGACAGGACTGGAAACAGAAAACAGAACAGCAGATCAGGCAGAGGAGGGGATTGGAGTAGCATGTGGGAATGGTGTGAGGTCACTTTGTGGCACACCAGTCAAAAAGGTTGGCCCTCCACTGCTTTAATCTCAAAGTTACGTTGTGGGAGGAAGGGAGAGAAGGATTTTAACTTACAACATACGTGTCTGACTCAGTAAACATTCTAGTAATCACATGAGGGAAGATCTTGTGGAATAGGAAGCAGCACTGATACAGGAAGACAGAGTAGATTTACACTTTTATAAACAAACGAAATCAGAGATGTACAGTATAGTAGAAGCTTTCATAAGTAGAGAGCCTGGCAAGAAAGCAGGGAGCACAGAGGGCTGGAGCTGGAGCAGTAGCTGGGATTAGCTGGACATTAGTAAACTGTGGGCTGGATCAGGCAGAAAGAGGGGATTGCAGTCTTTTTGCAGCATCCGCTGAACTAAGTCTGCCCCACGAGCCCCTGTGGCAATAGCTGCCAAATTAGCCACTCCAAATTCTCTGAGTGGAGTCTGAAGTGGCAAAGCAAAAGAGCAGCCTTCTACACTGGAGCAACAGCCAGGGATCTGATGCCCACGGAAGAGACAGCCGGGTTGCTGACCCCTACTTTACAATAAGGCCAGTGCAAGAGTGATTTTACTAAGACCCCTCCTGCAAAACAGTCCTTTTTTTTTGTCAAGCAACTTCAACGGGACAGATTTCAACTTACTCATGTGTAGTGAGGCTATACTTGCAAAACAGATTAATTTTAACTGTTACAAAGTTAAGAAAGGAATCTGTTTCAGTATTATACTCCAGAATGGCTTAGTATTCCTTTTTTTTTTTTGGCAATCACTATTCACGCCTTCAGGAAGCCCTGAAATAAATCACTTCTCTGTAGCAACTATCAAAACATGTATGCAGCCAAGAGCTCTCATTGAATAAGCTAGTCACAGTAGCCAAAAATTCATTTATAAACAGAACTGAACATCTCTATGTCTTCAGCTGAATAATTCATGTAAAGCTTCAAACAATCACATAATTATATGTATTTCCCCTCCACATTTCCTCATCTTAAACACATAACATGTAATGAGCTCACCACCAAAGACAGAGGTTATTAAAAATAAGTTCTTACCTGCTAATCTGATTGAAGCAATTCTTTCTTTAGGAGACCAGATAAGTAGGTATTTTACATAATAAAAAACAACCCACAACTGGGTGGAGTGAGTCTTCAAGAGCTCTGCATAAGACAGACTAGAACATAGGAAGCTGTTGAGCAATAACCAAATAAACTGCCTATTGAGCTCCAAAGCTGCTTGTGCTTAGTGTGGCAATAGCTGACAGAATGGATTTTGAGTTGTTCACGTGCTTTTACTTAAGTGAGCCTTTTAAATATCAGACACTTTTCTATATCCCGAACAGAAATAAAAAGCTCACCAACCACCTGTGTATTTTAAAATTGTATAGGTTCCCCTTTAATAATTTTAAGTATCTACTCTACATAAAACTTCCGGGTTCCTCTCTAAGTTTTTGGAGGGTGTAACATTTAAAGCAAGTCATGCCTGCTCAACTCAGTTTCCTTCTATGATAAAATGACAGACTGTGGACCTGAGGGTAAAAAGCAGTGGTAGTGATATACCTTGACTTTAGCAAGGTTTTTTGACATTATCTCCCACAACAATCTCATTAATAAACTAAGGAAATACAGACTACTGAAAGTACTGTAAGGTGGGTACTAAGTGGTTGGATTATTGTGCTTAATGAGTAGTCTTCAATGGCTCTATGTCTAGCTGGGAAGAAGTATAAAGTGGAGTTCCTCAGGAGTCTCTCCTGGGTCTGGTGTTGTTCAACATCGTCATTAATGATTTGGATGATGGGATTGAGTGCACGCTTAACAAAATGGGGATGATGCCGAGTTGGGTGGACTTGCAGACACTCTGGAGGGTAGGGATAGGGTCTGGAATGACCTAGATCAGGGCTGTCGGACTGACAGCCAGTGGGCACATGCAGCCTGTGAGGGGTTAATCTATGGCTCTCAGATTCCTACACTGCTACTGGAGCTGCTGCTTCCTCCCATGCTGCTTCCTTGCATAGCGCTCCCTGCTACAGCCAGGGACTCTAGGTACCCCCACTCCCCTGAAGCTTTGGCTCCCTGCTCCTGCCCCAAGGGTAAGGTGGTGCAATGTAATCCAGTGTCAGGGGAACCCATGGCACAGTGCAGGGAAGGACCCTATGGCTCACACTAGTGTGGTCCCAAGGATGTAAGACCCCCTGTTCACTTAGAAGGTGGACAGCCCAGACCTAGATAAACTGCAGAACTTGTCCAAAAATCAATCCAGTGAAATTCACAATGGACAATTACAAAGACTTGCACTTGGGACAGAATAATTACATATACAAATATAGACTGGGATATGACTGGCTAGGCTATGGTACTGCAAAGAAGGAACTGGAGGTTACAGTAGATCAAAAGCTGAATATGAGGCAACAGTGTGCTCTTGTTGCAAAAAAAGAAATCAAAAGCATACTGGTTTCTATTAATAGGAGTGTCACTTGTAAATCAAGGGAAATGATTCTTCTAATCTTGTAGGCAGTGGCGAGGCCTCACCTGGAGTACTGAGTCCAAGTTTGGGTCATGCATTTCAAGATGTGGGCATATTAGAAAAAGTCTAGAAGAGACCAACAACAATGTTTAGAGGCCTGGGAAACATGATTTATGAGAAAACTGAAAGAATTAGGATTATTTAGTCTGAAAAGAAGACTAGTGGGGATTTGACAATAGTAATCAAATATCTTAAGGTCTGTTATAAAGAGGATGGAAATAAACTATTCTCTGTGGCTGTAGGGAACAGGATAGGAGTAATGGTCTAAAATTGCAGGAGGGAAAATTTAAGTTGGCGATTAGGAAGAGCTTTCTGACTATAAGGGTGGTTATGCACTAAAACAGGCTACCTAGAGAGATTGTGACATCGCCATCCTTGGAAATTTTCAAAAGCAGATAAAACCAACACTTATTCCATAGGGCTTATGTCAGGGACATTCCTGCTTTGAGCCGGGTGTTGGACCAGATGGCTTCCTGAAATCTTTTTCAGTCTTCTATGATTCAGTGAAACTAAATGTTCACGATAGAAAACAAGTAACATCTCTGCCAGGGATATTGGCAATATGCTTCACATCCCCTTATATATGTAGAAAACTAAGTCATTTGCTGTTCATATTAGATGGCATAGGATGACTTGAATGGTGCTTTAATCATCATTGGCTAGATATAGAACAGTTAGAAATTAACATCATAGACAAAAAACTGAGAAATAGTGGCTAGCCCCTGCTTTAATTTGCAGCCAGATTCCATAATAAGACTGATTTTTTTTAGATCATTGGCTAGGTCAGTGGTGCTCAATCTCCAGCCAGCGAGCCAAATCTGGCCAATGGAGTAGTGTTACCAAGCCCATGGGACCCTCCTCAGGTCCTGAAATTTGGTGGTAGAAGAGCAATGGGAGTGCTACTTACCATTCCCCTGCTGCCAAATTTCCAGACCTGTGGGAAGCCCTGCAAGGTGGATACTGTAGCCCTCCATGCTAGATCACTTGGTCACAGTAGGTCTGGTACACAGGACTGCTCCTGTGTGATGATACCAAGTGTGGGATCTGGCCCATAGGCTGGAACATGAGCCACTCTGCCCAAAGAACCAAAAGATTGAACACCATGAGGCTAGATAAACTGATTTGGTCTTGCTTACCAAATTGAAAGCTAAAGATGCAGGAAGCTTTGCCAGAAAAAATTAAGAAACAAATTATTTTTAATAATAATTTAAAAAATCCTAATTTGAAGAGTGATGCAAGTATATTTCTTTCTGTTCCTTTCTTCTGTTCTTTGTCTTTCTGGCACCAGAATCCTGGCACCCATTCAAACTTTCCACATACATTTCCCTTGAAAATTCAGAAAGATACTCATTTGAAGCTAAATTATGACACAGAGTACTAGATATTGTTACTCTAACAATCTGTAAGAATAGCTTGATCTCTGGTTGGTATTCCTGAATTACCATTTATAATTACTTTCATGGTTGTGAAAAAAGTGTTCCCTCTCATACATGATTTGGCAGGCACATACCTGTTTGCTGAGTAGCAGCTTCATTTAAATCACTTGAGATTTTATGAGACTGTATTAAACTCTGGCCCAGTTTACATACAGAAATTTGCAGCAATTTTACTAATTCCATTTTCTGTTTGTACGTAATCCCTTAGTGTAATCAAAAGAGGGGATCATTTGATTACTTTTATTCAATCCCAGAATAAAGTTATTTGTTGTTGGCCTGATCCAGAGCCCACTGAACACCTATCAGTACTGAGGCCTTTTCTGTGCTACTGAATGAACAGCACTACTGTTTCCTAGCAAGCTTTCTAAGAGTTGGAGACTACTATAGACAATGCTTAGCAACTGCTATCTCAGAAGACATTTAGCAGGTCAAGTCCAATATACTTCTTGGGTATAGTGACTTCAGCCAAATGAGTGTTATTGCATGGGGTATTTAACACCCCAAACAAATAACAGCTCTCCTCCAAAGGTAAATAGGCTTTACCAGAAATGTGATTTGATTTTAAACAATAATGGATAAAAGACTGATGCACTGTATTCTAGGTTCAAAGATGCAGCAATTATTAACCGAGATGTTCAGTTTATGAATTTCTCCCACCTCAAGGTTTCTGGAACAAAAGAGTTTACTTTGAATATTGATAGTCTTCAGCCATCATGATAGCCTTCAGTTTTAGTGGAAATCAATGGGAAAACTAAATTACTAATAATTATAAGAAATTCTGTGTGCATCTGGCTCAATATGTGAAGTACTTTTGCACCAATACAATTCTAACATCCAGAGCAACAGGTGGTAATCGTACAAAGACAACTCATTTCTAGTCAGCACATGCAGGTAATGGCACAGAACACAGGATACTCTGTCTTCATGTCCTCCAATCTCAGCATGTTTGTAAGAGCTTGGCTGAGCAATGTAGAATGAAAAGGAAACAACATTCTTGAGGAAGCACTTCTATACTGCTAAAAAAATAAAGAATTATTTCAGTGCAATAAGAATTAGATAAAACTAGATTAGGGCAGGCAAAGTCTGGCCCGCAGGCCAAATTTAGCCCACAGCAGACTCCATTTCCAGGCAGCCCTTGCCTGCATTGCTGCAGTCAGTTTCCACAGAAAACCCAGGAGGAGTGCAGCTGTGACAGCACAGGGGTAGGGTTTCCAGAGACTGGCCCCATCAGTGCTGGCAGAGCATGTGGCTGGGTGGGGAGCTACTCCAGGGCCAGGACTGGGATTTTGTGATGGTGACAGCATGGTCTGGAGCTGGGGCAAAGCCACAATCTGTTGTCCATACACTCTGGGTAGGGGCATGCAGGCAGCAAATTGCAGATTTGCCCTGGTGGGGCATGCAGGGAATAGATCACAGCTCTGCCCTGGCTCTGGCTCCAGACCACACTGTCACCACCACAAAACCCCTGCCCCAGCCCTGGAGTAGCTCCCTGCCCAGCTGTGCCCCCTGCCAGTGCTGCTTGGGCCGGTCTCCATGGAAATCCCAGCCCTGCCCCTCCTGGGGTCTTCATGGAAACCAGCTGCAGTGATGCAAGCAGGGGTTGTTAGGCAATGGAGTCGGACTGCCAGCTAAATCTAGTATTTTGCCCACCCCTGGACTAGATGGTCACTATCCTGAGGTGAAAAAAAGCAATGCTCTCTTTTCCAAGTTTTTCTTCAAATCAAGAACAAGTGAAGTTAGAAGTTAATGGCAAGTAAATTTACATTTCAGTACTGAAAGAAATCAGTCAAAATATTACAGTTTGGTAGTTTAATAGCATTTGTATTTATTTATCTTCATCAACCAGTGCTGTCAACCTACTAATATTAACCATGCTGGAACAGCACTGTTGCTACAAATGGGAAAACATAGCAGTAGTGTAGATGGGCTGGTAGATGGTTAACTTTTTTAATTAATCATTTTTTATTTAGGTTGGGTCATAACACTTCATAGGACAAATGCAACTCTGTTATGAAGAATTTACAGATGGACTTGTATAATACAACTGTCTAAAAGATGAAGCATTAGGGTGGTAGCAGATGCTGTTAATTGTCCTGTAGGGGAAGGGAAGGATAAAGGTATAGGCAGAGATGTAACAGGCTAGTACTGTGCCTAGGCCCAGCTGGAGGGTTGCTGCTGCTGGGGAAAAGGTCACCTACTTTTCATAGTTTCATAGAAGTAGGGTCGGAAGGGACCTGAGCAGATCATCAAGTCCGACCCCCCTGCCTTGGCAGGAAAAAGTACTGGAATCAAACGACCCCAGCAAGGTGTGCATCTAGCCCCCTCTTAAAGACCCCCCAGGGCAGGGGCCAGCACCACTTCTCTTGGAAGTTGGTTCCAGCTCCTAGCCGCCCTGACAGTGAAGTAGCGCCTCCTGATGTCTATGTCGCAGAGCACTTCGGTACTGTGCTCCTATAAAGAGGGGAAGGGTGTAGCAGGGCGCTAAGATGCCTGCTACATGTGGAGCAGTAAGTAAGGAGCCCAGCTGCTGGTTGCCAGGGTAACTGGTGGGAATCAGCTGACCAGAGGCAGAGCCTGGCTCCTATATAACTCCCAGGCTGAGTCCAGGCAGTTCCCTGCTGGCAGCTAAAGGGGAAGGAGCTCTGCTGGAGGAAGAGAAGAGAAGAGAAGAGGAGACAAGACGAGACGAGACCAAAATGCAAGAGCAGTTGGTACGGGAGAGGGATGGAGCACTCTTGGGGGTGGTGCAAGCTAGGTTTTAGCCAAGTGGCAGAAATGTATGTTATAGCCAAGGGCTTGTGTTTTGTTTACTGTTAGACCGGTGGTTTGGGTGAGGCTATTAGGGGTTGGAGGAGGCCTCATAGGGGATCCACGGTAGTGTGGGGATCCTGGTGCTAGAGAGGGTGAGGTATTTTGGGATGCGCTGACTTCAGCCCTGAGAAGGGAAGCAGAAAGAAGGAGGCCAGGTAAGGCTGAGGCTGCCTGAGCCCTGCAGCGAGTTCAAGACCCCAAGAAGAAGAGTTGGGGCCAGGCATGGCTACAGCCACCTGAGTCCCAAGGCTGTGGAAGCCCCAGAGCCAAGGGGGTGCAGAGGCGAGAGAAGCCCCAGGGCAGCAGAGAGCTGAGCACCAGAGAGGGTGCAGAGAGGGAGGCAAGGGCTATGGCTAAGACCAAACAACTTCTGGTAAATCTGCGAGGCTTGGGGCGTGGAACGGGTGGTTGGAGCCAAACATTGCCCATAAGGCTGGGGTGCACGGAAGCCCCATTATAAGAACAAGACGAGTGACAACAGGAGAAAACCGTGTCCAAGAGGATGAAAGGCAGCCTCCCTTTAATATTTAAGTTCAAGACATGGCGAGTGAGATTTGAGGGTGCTTGGAAGCAAACTTGACATGGTAAGGGGGCGCTAGGGGGATCATGGCCATCCCTGGGACCCCGCTCTGTGACAGTCTAGTCTGAATCTACCCTCTGCCAGCTTGTGACCGTTATTTCTAGTCACTCCTGGTAGTGCTCAGGGGAACAGGGGCTCCCCCAATGCCTGCTGGTCCCCTCTGACTAGTTTGTAACAGGCCACTAGATCCCCCCTCAGCCTTCTCTTATGGAGGCTAAATAGGTTCAGGTCTCTTAACCTGTCCTCGTAGGA